CTTCATCGCCGGACAAAAGTTCTTATCCTCCCAAGGGCATTATCCTTCCCCCTAGACGATGTCTCAACAACCTAACATCTCGTTTGACTCAAATGGAACGACGGACTACTCCAACACTGAGTCATCATTAGAAGGTGTTTTTGATACCACCGAAGGATCTAAATGGCAGCAATTCTCTCCAATGGTCACATCTGTATCTTTTTTCATTAAAAGGCGTAAGAAATTTGGTCATCTCACAGATATGATTCGTGAACCTTCAAAGACGGACTCAACGTATAGAGCTTGGGAAGTGGAGAATTCCATGGTCATGTCGTGGCTGATCAACTCTATGGAGACTTCAATTGGTTGATCATATATGTTCCTTCTGCTAGTACCATCTGGACGGCAGTCCGTGATACCTGCTCGAATGTGAGGAATTCTAGCCAACTCTATGAGGCATATAAGAAAATTCGTGGGGCAAAAGAAGAATCAAGTACCGTGACCCAGTACTATAATGATCTAATTGCATTATGAATTGAATGCGACTTATATTATGACTACACTTGGGAATCTCCAGTCGAACTGTTTCTTTTTCAAAAAATTATAGAAAAGGACCGCATGTTTCAATTTTTGATAGACCTTAGCAAAAATCTTGAAGAAGTCTGGGGTCGTATTCTTGGTCGGGATCCTCTTTCTTCTATTCGCTCTGCTCTTCCTAACATTTTTCGCAAAGAAAGTCGTAGACTTGTAATGCTCGGTATTTCCACTTTGTCTGTCAAAGCATCCACCAAGGTCTTTAAAAGAGCTCAACCCCAGGCCTGGTCACCCCACTTGAGATTTCTGTCACAAACCCAGCCACACTCGTGATAGTGTTGGAAGCTCCGCGAGAAACCTGCATCAAAACCTTCGGCCAAATCTCCCACTGTCAAGATTTTCACCACGCAGCTGATTGTCCTATTATGTTTTTACACTGTCGTTTGGGTCGTCTTAATTTTCAGTATCGATAGCAATTGTATCTGTTGATGTTTACTGATAAAAATCCTTCAAATTTCAAAAATGAAATATGTTAGCTAAAAATCATCGTGTCCCTTATCCATCCCACAATTACACACCTTCCGCTCCGTTCTATCTTATTCACAGTGATTTATGGGGGCCCTCTCGCACCCCTAGCTACGTCAATAAATATTGATTTCTTACTTTGATTAATGACTACACTCAGATGAAATGAGTCTATATTTTAAAAGATAAATCTGAAGTTATCACTTTCACGCATTTATTTTGACCCAATTCAAAACTCCTATTCAAATTTTTCGAACTGACAATGGTCATGAATTTTTTAACTCTATATTAGGAGAATTCTTGGTAAGCAAGGGCATCCTCCATCATAGCTCTTATCATGAAACACCTAAACAAAATGAGGAAGAGGAAAAACCGACATTTTCTCGACGTCACTCGCTCTATTATATTTCACTCTAATGTCCAAAAGTGTTTCTAGAATGATGTCATTCTTATCGCTTTATTTCATAAATAGAATCCCGTTAAAAATTAATAACTTATGTACCGCTTTATGCGTCATGAGATCTTTCTTTCCTAACAATCGAGTCTTCTCCATTTTAAACCCCAAAATTTTTGGATGCACAACTTTTGTTCGGACACAAGCTCAACTCGGAGTAAACTTGATCTCAGATCCATAAAATGTGTTTTTCTAAGATACTCTATCACGCAAAAGGGCTATCGGTATCTTGACCCTCCCACAAATAAGATCTATATGAGTGTTGATGCCTCTTTTCTTAAAGTGTTCCCTACTTTCCTAACTCGGCCTCAAGTGGATGTTCCCCCCACATCACCTACCATCAAGGAACATTTGGTTCCTTTTGTTCCACCCATCTCTCTTATCACCAAAGAACCATCTATTCTTATGAATCCACCTGCAAACCATCCCACTATGTATCTACTCACGACGCATTCATTCTGATGCACCAACTCAGGAGCTCACTAACACCTTGCTGGACCCTGAATCCCCTCCAGACGACAACCCCAACATTGCTCTGACTCAAAATGAGGAAGTCAGTTCCCCTAGTAAGGTACGTAATCAGATATGTTATCTCTATCTTGTGGCAAACTATGTCTCCTACCACAGATTATTGCCAAATTACAGAGCATTTGCTACGACTTTGATAAGTCATCGGCTTCCATCTACTATTGAGGCTGCTTTAGCAAACCCGGCCTGGAAAGTTGTGGGATCCCTCTATGGAGTGAAGCAACCACCACGAGCATGGCTCGGGAAATTCACAAAGGTTGTGTGACATGCCTAAAAAGGTGTTATTTTTATATATACATTTTATGCTCATTTTTAATGATATTGCACTTTAATGAAATGTATTTTGCATTTTTTTTGTTGGTACAAGAAAAGGAATTTTAGAGAATAATGAAACAAATCAAAGCAAAACGGGATCAATTGGAGCAAGGTTGACAAAATGAACTGGCGCCTAGGTGCCACCTTCTGACACCAGACTTGTACGTGAAAACAGATGAGACAGTTACAATGAGCTTCTAGAAGGTTGGCGCCTAGGCACCACAGTTGGGCGCTTAGGCGCCATAATTGGTTTTGATGATTATGCATTGAATTTGAATGAATTTTGAATGGGCATTTGAAGTGACTCTTGGGAATTTTGGGAGTTGCCATATAAGGAGTCAAGAGAGGCCAGAAAAGGAGAGTATTGCGTGGGGAGTCGTGTGGAGTCTTGGGGGAGTTGAAGGGAGGAGAGTGTGTTTGTGTCTCTTGGAGCGAAATTGTAAGGAGAGTTGAGAAATCATCAAAAGAAACTTCAAAGGATTTACTTGGGAAGAAATTTAAGATAAGTACTTTGTATTTTTGTTTGAGTTTTGTTTATTGTGTGAACCTGAATTTTAATATAAATTTTTTTTTTTTGTGTTATCCCATGAGATCTAAGTAGTTTTCTTTGTCTTTCTCCTCGCAATAAAAATTACTCTTGTGTAGAATTAGAATTGTTTAAAATTTCTCTATTTCATGCTTGTGATGATTAATTACTTCGTACTTATATACATATTCAATTTAGTCAATTAGTATGTTAAAACTTGTTGTAAAGCCATAATGACCTGGAAAGACTATGTATTCATCAACTAGTAATAATCATATTAATATGATAGGTTATAAGGTAGCCCATTGATTAGTGCAAATAGATAGAGAGATAAATTTTGATGGATATAAATTAGTGATTTTAGGGTGACAGACTAGAACCTTTACCAATTTGATCTAAAATTTGGAACTTAAGGACCGATTAGTCCTAAAGAGAGGACACAGTGGGTAATCTAGAAGTGAGATGCTAGAACCTACCCAGCATAACCTTAGATTTAGAAACTTAACTCTAGGCTAGCCAATGTTTTTTATGCACTCGGAAAAGAATAAAAAATAAAATTGATCCTATTTGTCACAAAACTTCATTTAAACCTTTAAAAATTTTATTCCTACACTGATTATGATCTCATTGCATGGGGAAAAAAATTTATATAATTTGAACTCTTTTTCGTTTAACTAGTTTAGAAACACTTAGCATTTTCTTTAAGCTTTAAAATAGAATTTGTAAGAATTAGTTACTTTATACGCATAAACTTGCAAACTTTTTTCCTAGATAATTGACTGTAGTTTAAGTAAACTTTTACTAAATTCATAAAAGAGTTTTCACCTTCCATGGGATCGATATTTGGGACTTCAAAATAAAGTCCTTTATTACTTAAAACGATACGTGCACTTGCGTAGTATCTCTAATGTGTAAAATTAAATTGTGGAAAGAAAACAAGAATTATTTGATATAATGTTCAATTATGAATTAAACATTGCACACGGCTGTTGCATCAAGTTTTTTTTCACATTAAATGTCGACCATCTGATGATCCAATTAGGAGAGTAGATGTTTTAGATTTGACTTATGTTAAGAAAGACAGAGGTAGACCTAGAAAGACTTGGGCTTATTGTATAAAAAATGATCTTAATTTACTAGAACTAAATGAAAATATGACACTAAATAGGATGCAATGGAGAAAAAGGATTCATGTAGCCGACCCCAAGTAGTGGGTTTAAGGCTTTGTTGTTGTTGTTGTATAATTCTTACGATATATTTTGCTATTTTATCCTAGATATGAAGGCATGTTTTTCACTAACACCATCATACATCTATGATTGGATATATATGCTCAGGTTTGGGAGCATGGCCAATAATGTGTGCATAAGTAGAATTCTCTTCACATGGTGGATTTATTTTGATAGGGTTACTGTGACCTATATGTCGGCCGTTTTTATGTTCAACTTGACTTTCGTAGTGGATTTCTTTTGATAGGGCATCATGATAGCCACCACATTATATCATGTGTTTTCCCTCTCCATGACTCTTCTTTTGTCATCATTACCAATCATAACTACCCTATTATCAATAGTGAACTTGAAACTAATTCCTCCCCAAGATACTTAGGACATCTTAGTAAAATTTCTTAAACTCATAGTAATAGCTTTACAAACAGTTTAATGCAATTCGCAGTAATTTCTCTTCTTCATATCTTAAATTTTAAGTGGCACTTCAAAACATTAAGAAAAAAAAAATCATATATTGATTCTAGAAAAGATATAAGAAAAATATTAAGCAATGAAGTTTGAAGCACTTTTTAAGGGTTATTTGATTCGCTAACATATATTATGTTATTAGCAAATGTTAATTGTTCAGCTTATCCATATCTTCGAATAGTAATTTCAATTTCCTAAATGATAATCAACTTCTAATTTGATGACATCTAGATGCTCGCTGCATTTATTGCCTTCCAAATGTTAGGCTATCTAATGACTAAGATGAAAGAAATTAAAAAGAAAAGAATCATTTTTATCATTTTAGATATTGTTGCATCATTAAAGATAATATTATCATTCACATAACATTAATAACAAACAACCTAAATCAGAAAAAATGGGCTAAATTAATAGCCAAAGTAAGTATTCACATAGGACTCACCAGGTGCAATATATCCATAAGATCCAACCACAGCTGACATTGATTTCAACTGCGGCATATCAATCACCTTTGCCAATCCAAAATCACCAACGTGTGCTTCAAAATTATCATCAAGTAAAATATTGTTTGATTTGATATCTCTATGAATAATATGAGGCTTACAATCATGGTGCAAATAAGAGAGCCCCTGAGCAGCTCCTAGAGCTATCATAAATCTCGTGTCCCAATCCAAATCAACAGACTTCCCATGAAGCGCCTCCCCAAGGCTCCCTTTTGACATGTACTCATAGAGAAGAACATTGGAGCCTTGATGATAGCAATAACCATACAACTTAACAATATTCCGATGCTTTATCTTCCCAAGAGTCAAAATTTCAGCACGAAAACTATTGTTTGCATTACTACCTTCACTATAAGATACAAGTTTTTTTACAGCAACAGTCATTCCAGTTTTCAAAACAGCTTTATAAACTGTTCCACATGCTCCCTTTCCAATAACATAACCGTCATCAAAATTATTTGTTGCTGTAATCAAGTCACTGAAAGAAAATCCTTCCTTCGAACTTATACAAATGCTAGATTCTTCAGAGGAAAGCTCCCTATCCTGTAAAGGAGAAACAGTCTCTACAGGCTTTCTTAGAACATGCAATATAACTGCAATAAGAGCAAGTGAAACTCCTCCAATGGCAGCAGAAATTATGACAACAATATGCTCAATGGGTTTACCAGTTGATGTTGCATCAGGAGAGGAAGAAAGAATTGAAGAAAAACTACAGCTGGTAAGAGGCTCGCCACAAAGCGCAGTGTTTCCTTCAAAGCTGCTTGAGACCATATTTCGAAGAAGCGGGAGAGAAGGAATAGGTCCCCAAAGATCATTGAATGAGACATTCAAACCAAGCAAACTGGATAAGTTGACAAAAGATAAAGGTATTTCACCAGTAAAGTGGTTATTGTTCAGTAAAAGGTACTCCAAAAGTGCAAGATTTCCAAGCTCAGGAGGAATATTTCCTGAGAGATTGTTATAGCTGAGATTCAAAGCAATCTGGAGGCTTGAAAGGTTGCCCAATTCGCTAGGAATTCCACCAGAAAATACATTGCCGCCCATCTGCAATTCAGTTAAATGAGAAAGATTTCCTAGAATGGTAGGTATTGCACCTGAGAGCTTGTTATCAGAAAGAAAAAGCAATTCTAACTGCTCAAGAGTTCCAAGCTCATTTGGTAATTCGCCAAATAACCCATTCCTGCAAGTCTCTTACAACTAACAATTTGTGGAGGAATTCTTCCTACAATTTGGTTAGATGAGATGTTGAAGAAAACCAGCTGTGATAGATTAGCAATCTCCAGTGGAAGCTCGGAAGTGAAGAAGTTGACTGGGAGAGCAAGTCTTTGCAGTACTTTGCAGTTTCCTATCTCAGGAGGTATAGGACCACTGAACCTGTTCTCATCCAACTCAACAATGGTTAAATTTTCAATATTGCATAAATCAGCAGGGAAACTACCTATGAGGCCATTATCACCAAGACGAAGTTGCAACAATGATTTACAAAATATGACTCCACTTGGTATATTACCAGTAAGCCTGTTAGACCAAAGATTTAACATAATCAAATTAGAATAATTGCATATATTGCTCGGTATTGGCCCGGTAAGATTATTGTTTGAAAAATCCACAACCCAAAGACGGCTATAAACACCAAGTTCTTGAGGAATAGGACCTGAAAGCATGTTGTTAAAGAGCTGCAACTGAAGCAACTCACTCAAGTACTGCAACCCAACTGGAATTGGTCCTGTCAGAAAATTTAATGAGAGATCAAGCTTTGTTAAGTTCTTCAACTCACTCAACTCAAGTGGGATGACACCAGTAAGCTGATTCTGGAAGAGATATAGCAGAGATAAGCTCTTTAACTTACTCAGCTGCAACGGAATCCCTCCAATCAAAAAATTCTCAGAGAAATCAATTTCCCTCACCCAAGTAAGATTTCCTATCGCTTTTGGTATAGTTCCGTTGAATTTATTTCTATAAAGGTAAAAATTTTTTAGATTCTTCAAGTTGCCAATCTCAACAGGGATTTCCCCTTCCAAATTATTCTGGTAAAGCGCAAGGGTCACAAGGCTTGTGCAATTCCCCAACTCCTTTGGCACAATTCCAGACAACTGATTGCCCCAAAGAATCAATTCGCTAAGCCGCTTCATCATCCCAAGCTCTTTAGGAACCTCACCTCCAAGTTGGTTCTGGGCGAGTCCAAGGAATTCCATGCTCTCGCATCCGCCGATCTCCAACGGAATCATTCCAGAAATCATGTTTTGCCCCGCTCTGAAGGTAGCTAAATACTTGAGTTTTCCAATGGATCCAGGCAGGGCTCCGCTGAAGTTGTTCGAGTATGCTAAAAGCTCAACAAGCGAAGAAAGGTTGCCAATTTCTTCAGGAAGAGATCCAGAGAGTTTATTATTGCAGATGTTGCAGTATATCAGGGAAGTCAGGTTGCCTAATTCAGGAGGGATCTGACTCTCAAACTTATTGTTGTTTAGGTACAAAACTTCTAAACTTGAACAGTTTCCAATCTCTGGAGGTATATTTCCGGAGAAACTATTGAAAGAGAGGTCAAGATAAGATAAATGCACTAGACCACCAATGCTGGGGGAGAGGCTGCCTGATAAATTTAATGAATTTAGATCAAGAGAGATAACAACTGGATCATAATCACTTGAACAGCTCACACCTTTCCAGCAGCAAGGAATTTCATCCCCAGGATTCCAACTTTCAAGGTTTCCTAGATTATCCTGCAATTTATTCTTTATATTCAGGAGATACTGCCCTTCCATGTTGAGCCCTTGAGAACCATGAACAAACAGAATAGCCAGTAGCAACACTAAATTGAAGGATGAAATCGAGAGATTTGACAATTTATCCATCAAGCTAAGTATCTGAATTCAGAAGGCAGATTTCCAGTCATCTAAAAATCAAATTTTGGCACTGATGTTCCACGCAAAATTTATTTCCTGAGTTGACTGTGGAAAATAACCGTGGTGATTAAACAAAATTAAATGATAATATTGACAAGAAAATTCAAGTTGTAGAAGATTATAAAGTCTCTAACTAAATAGCTAGTATAGAACTACAAAATATTTAAGGATTCAAAGAATCGCATACCTTCATGGTTCTTAAAGCATTCAAAAACACAATGCCGCTTACTGCTTGAGGAACTATGAAAAGCATTGAAAACTTTTTCATGAACTAAAGAATCATCGAATAATATCTTCCAATTCTTCTTTGTAGAGAGAAATCAAAACTCCAAATGATATCCTCATAGAATCCAGAATCTCTGAACTCCCACAAGCTCCAGTTCCCTTCATTCAAGCAATTCATATAAACTCAAAACTGCTTTATTTTGGCAAAGCCTGAATTCCTCTCCAACCATTCTGAGTAAGACAAAGTGGGAATCACAAAACCTAGAAGCCACCAATCCAAAAGAAGAATCAAACAAAAACCAGTTCAATGTCCCCAAAAAAAATCAGAAAAAGTGACCCTTTTCTGATTTTCCAAGCAACATTCCAAAAAAATGACACCTTTATATGTCCCCCCGCTCAATCCTCATTCATCACACTTATAGTAATCTTCTTCCAAACGCTTTTCCAGATTTAGCGCATGGCATTCATTTATCTTTTCCTTTCTCCCCCTCCTCTCTCGTCGACGCCGAGAGTGAAACGCAAAGCAATTAATCGAATCAAAGACAAAGATACGCGAAGCTGTATGAGAGCGAGAGAGAGAGACAATGCTCAATGGCAGGGAAGCACGCTTTCAAAGGTCCGAATCAAAGACAAAGATACGCGAAGCAGTATGAGAGCGAGAGAGAGAGATAATGCTCAATGGCAGGGAAGCACGCTTTCAAAGGTTTCAACTTTCTATCGCCATCCATCTTTCTGTCCAAATCTACAGACCCCACGCCTCTTCTTTTTCTTCTCCCCTTTTTCTCTTCCCTGTTTCACCTATCTTCTCTTCTTCCATCTTTCTAGACGATGTAATTTTTAATTGAAATGAAAGAGTTCCATTTCTGTAAATTGCCCGTTGGGCTATGTGAAGGGGCGAGTGAGTATGATTTTATCAAACTTTTGAGAGGGTAAGGACGGAGCTGTAAAAATGACATCTTTAATCGTTATTGAAAATATATTGACAAATTTAATATAAACAAAGCTGTGCATATTTAAATTATCATCATAATTGTGAGGATTTTCAGTTTACGGGCGATTCAGCACAAATATTTTTAATTTGTAAATGCCAATATCCTTATAGAATCAAAAATTATGTTTTAAATTTAACTAAAGATCAAATTTTGTGGCAATATAAATTACATTGCCCTAATTTCCCCCATTAATTTCTTCCCCCAGGGATCAAGTAGTTCAATGTTAGTATTTTCACTATTTTTACTTTAGTATTCTAATTATTATTATGGTTTGTGAAAAAGCTTAGCTACAAAGAAAAAAAATATATAGCAATTTAAGTGTTTATGATGGAGCATAAAAACTACTAGTAAAGTGCGTGTATGCATGTGTGTAAATGATCATTTATAAGTTATTAGACTCTAACACTTCAATTTAATCATTTGGAATCAAGACATTCTTTTAACATCAAATAGAATGCATGATACATAAAGGGGAGAGAAACTTGAACATGCTTACAGATTTTGAAATTCTTTCAATGTTCTTCTAAACCCAGCCCCCTCTTAAATAGTTAAGTATACATAAATGAATAAAATAACTAATCAATTTAAATTAGGTCATCAATACAAACACAATAAAGTGCATGAGACCAACTTTATAAATGATGATAATCTACAAAGCAAGTGGTCAACATTAAACACAACGTATATAGTGTGATACTCAACAATACAATCATAAAAGTTAGCAATAAATTAAATCAAGCATGCAATTATTGATTTTTCAATATACAATGATATTTGAGCATATATGTTTGCAAGTATGCAAATAAATGGTATAATTGCTATTTATTTACTTGATTATATTAGCTGAGGTAACATAAGTATATCAATCACCAATGAGAATAAATCTTTATACTAATAAAAAATAGTGTTATAACTTAAAGAGAGTAATTAACTTATTCAGTGTACTGCTACTTTAACATAAGAACCACTAAGCACTTGAATCACCACGTGTACATTAATACATATTATTTAAATAAATATACAAGGAAGGTAGCTTTATAATTATATAGCAAATTTATCATAATAATAAATTTTATTTTAGTTTTCAATAAACTTACATTTACTCCTAATTTTTCTCCTCACTTAGGATTTCATAAAATCACATAATAATGTAAATTAAAGCTCTTCCACTCTTTTAGTTGGATAAATCCCTATAATATGCATTCCATAAAATAGGCATGTGCAATTCAAATGTCTAACATTTTCATACTAGGTGGCCCAACTCTTTAATATAGGATGTCTTCCTTAAAAATGTTCAAATTTTTAACTGTGTCAAAGGATATCCAAAAAAAAAAAAACCATAATAAAAGATCTCTATAAATATTAAAATATGAAATATGAATCCAACTACATAATTCCATTTTAAGGATTTCAAGAGCTTGATCAACAAGAAAATTCTGCAACAATTTAATGAACCATTACATCCATCATTTTTTCTCATAATGGTGTAGTACATTAAGCTCTAAATTATTATATTTTTAGTCATTCAAAATGAAAATAAAGGGAAACATCTAAGACAAGATGACATGTATGTATCTTTATATTTATGTATGTGTGTGTATATATATATATATTAGTTAGGATGTAATTCCTTCTTCCTTGACATATTTTTTAGTCTTGTTCTAAAAAATATGAGGACAAATTTTTATGCCTTTGGCGTGCTTTTCCAATGAGGGTTTAATTCACCCCGATTGTAGGGTGTGATACTCGAATTATAGGTGCATGAGGGATGATCGGGGCTCGTATAATAGCCTTCGACCATTCCTTTCTAAAAAAATAAAAAATAACACACACACACACACACACACATATATCTATATGTATATAAATATGAATATATAGACATATAATATATATATATATATATATATATATATATACACACACACATACATATATATATATATATGAACTTATTGCATAAATTTTCTCCTCACATCGTAATGAATGCACTTCTGTTCTTCGAGCCTAGCAAGTCAAGCACAGTCATAAGTGTTTTATTCACACATTTATTAACTTCTAAAGACATAAGGAGTGCATGTTCCAGTTGCTTTCTTTTTTTTTCTATCAATAAAAAA